CCCCCCAGCCGACGGGGGCTGAGGGGGATTTCTGGGAGTTGAAGTCCACACATTTTAAAGTGACCAAGTTTGAGAAACACTGGCCTAAATGGCTTCTGCCTTCCGTGTGGGTCTGTCCTGCTTCCAGTACTGTGCTTTCCTGTGTGGTATGAGAAGTAGCTGCACATAATACATGTATTTAGATTTGCAAGTGAACCAAAACTTAGATCATCCTGAAAGTAGTTTTGTTTATCCTAGTTTCACAATCTGGTCCTACTAGTCTCAGAAAAAATGTACAGCTATAAACCACTGGTCATCTTATGCTGAGGTCCAGGTGCAGCATATCCATTTTTAGTGACTTAATAGAACTCTGTCCTTTCATTTTATGAAGGAGGTGTGTGAGAGAGATATTTTTAATTTCTCTCTCCCTGCTTCATCATTGATAAATCATTTGGGAGCAATAGGTACCATTTGCCTCTTATTTTCTATTTAAGAAAGAGCTTTGGGAGTCAGAACTGGAGGTGGCTACTATATTTTGGTATGGAAGATAACAGTCTGTACTATTACATAGTATCATTGCATAGAGACGCTTCCCTTTGTAATAAAGGTTTTTAAAACCATTCCCAGTTGTAAACTTTTGTGTAATTTATTTAGACAAATTCTTTATACTGGCCTACTTCCCAGCCAGTTGACCTGCTATTTTCTTTTTTTAATTTCATATGGTTATATTTTGAATAGAAATGTTGTTCCATTGCAGCCACTCACCTAGGTACTTCATTAATGTTTTCTAAAAACCCATTTAGTAAACATGAAACACTGTACTCTTACCATTAAGGATGGAAGAAATGCAGGTTGAGGTGATAATGAAGGGTTAACCTCCATTTTACACCCCAGATAATAAGGATGTTTTTTATTTCTTTTTCACCCAGACCCAGATTTTATTTTGCTTTTCATGCATGTTTTCTACAATTATCTTAGATAATAAATATTTTCATGCTTTGAGCTGCTAGATCATGTTAACATAGACATTAGTCAGATGGTAACTTATTTTTATATGTGATTACTGATAAAAAATATCTGGTACTTAATTGAGTTTTCTTAATGCTGTATTTTCATTCTCTGATGGTTAGAGAAAAGAAAAATCCCTACATTTATTGTTACAATACGATTCTGTATGTTAGCATGAACTGATGTCCATTGGTCTTTATCTAATCTGTTAGTGTTTGGACAAATGGGTCTCCTAAATAGTTCATTATATTTTTTCGTTAGTCTTTTATTGCATTTTTATATGTAATAGCATGTAAACATTTATTCATCCAAAAGATCTCAGTAGCTTGTCCAGATGGTACTGGTTAAAGCTCTGTTTTTTAAAAAGGGAGTATTCATTAAGTTAGATGTTATTTTTCAAATTTAAGAGTAAGTAGTGAAAATTTTATCTTTCACAAAAAGGGTGAGGGTTCCCCCCCCCCCCCCCCCC